TGTTTTGGCAAATCGAATGGTAGGTGGGTGTGTAATGCAGAAAAAGAACTGGAATGATTTTTTTTTTTTTTTGAAATAATAATAATAATAATAATAATAATAATAATAATAATAATAATAATAATAATAATATATAAAATGAAGTGTTGGAAACCAGTGGAATCAATGAAGGCTAGTATAAGATATTTTAGTGGGGAAAAGAAAGATGGGTATGTTGATTATATAATAAAATAAAAGTGAGTATGTGAAAGATGTTGTTTTGGTGGGAGAGATAATTATGTTTGCAAAAAGGAGAGATCCCTGGTGTTGGTTGTTTTTTTTTTTTTGGGAAAAAATGGAACACAGAAAGATAAGATAAATAAATAAAGAGAGTCGGTGAGTGGTCTGGAAAGTTGACAAAATGGTGGGTGTCTTGAGTGGAGAGAGAGAGAGATGGACACCACTTGGTCTTGGGATAGTCTCAGGCGCATAGAGAGAGAGAAAGAGGGGGGTTACTGTGATTTCTCTTTCCTCCATTTTCAGAGGTTGAAGAGCCCTCAAAAACCTTCAATATTTTGTGGGGGTATTAAGGATCTCAGTTTTGCATTGCCTTTACATGAGGAATCTGTCTCTGGGTCTTGCAAATGGAAACTGTAGACAAGTCCCATGTTGATTTGGAAGACGCCGGTGGTGCTGGTGGCGCCGCCTTGAGTGACGGAGGAAGTGACGATCTTAGCTCCACCGCCGGCGCGTCGTCAAGCCTCTCTGGTGCTGAGATTGTGGGTGTGAGGAGGGAATCCTCTGCGTCGGAGTGGTCGGTAGAGTTGGATCTGGAAGCTGGGGTCTCACAGGTTAAGGTACATTTGGGTGTGTCGTGCATGGAGAGAGATGTGTACCGTGTGGGTGTGTTGTGTCTTGTGTGTCTTTCTCTCCCTGAGAGAGACCGACGGCAGCCTGGGTCTCAGCGTCTGTAGGAGGTGGAGCTGGGAGAGGATGGTGGTTGCGATTGGAGTGGCAGCAGCGGGAATTCTCCAAGTATTGTACAAACAGAGCGTTCCTTCCAGAAGAAGAAAGCTGGGTTGGTCTCTCTTTTTTTTATTTTTTTATTTTTTTTATTTTTTATTTTAGAGAGGTAGAATTGAGAGTTGGAGAGAAAGCTGTCGTGGTGTCGAGAGAGAGATCCAGCAGCTTTGAACATTTTTCATGGCCCTTGCTCGAGAGCTCCGAGAGTGAGGGAGAGAGGAGTTCTGTTGTGTGTGTGTGTGTGTCCAGCCGTTGATCAGAGTGAAGGGACTGCAGCGACGGGGTAAGGTCAACAGTGGTGGTAGATGAAGACGACCGAGACAGTGGTGTATGGGAGGACAACAGTGAGAGGAGGGGCAGTGGTGGTGGACTCGAATAAATTTCAAGGTATGTGTAGAAAATTTTAGTGGATTAGGTTGAGGTCCGGCGAGTGGCCAAGGCAAGGTTGCCGCCCGCCGGTGAATTTTTTGTTTTTGTTTTTGTTTTTGCTTTATCATTGGATTCCAAGATATTTTATTTAAATTTGTTATGTGTTTCATGTGTATGTAAGTTTTAGGAAGTATCCGATGAGTGTCGTGTCGTGTTAGTGTTGGATATGACAAGTGACTTTCTTGGAAGTGTATGTGCTTCTTGGAAAGTATCAATTAGTTGGTTGTTACTGTTAGAATAATGTATAGAGAGGTAGAATAGATTGTATTTATTCATATGGTTAGGGGCTCCTTATATAGGAGACGATTTACAAATTGTAATGATGAAAATCTAAAGCACTAACATAAAGCTAACAAGCACTAATATTGCACTATACATAAAGTCTAAACCACTAACATAAAGCTAACACACTAACAGTTACATGTGGATTGAAAATGAATTCAACATGTTTACGTCTAACATGGAAAGAGTAAATTGAAATTATGAAATTACGCTTTGAAGTCAAAAGGTTCACCAATTTGTCAATCTCTTCCTTCTCTATTTCTTGCTCTTTGGTTTCTCTCTCAAAACTGGACGTGCCATCGTCTTTATGCCACTCACTTCATTGTCTATTGCCACATGCTCAACCCGTCGACCATTATTACTCTGTGTGTGTGTGTGTGTGTCTCTGCATGAAATATTGTGCCCCAAATTGATGTTCATCCTCTATTTTAGATCTTGCACAAATCCAAATCTTCAGCCTCTCTCTCTCTCTCTCTCTCTCTCTACAAAATTATATATTGCACAATTTTATATTATACATATTGGCAGTATCCTTTCAACTATTGAAGATTTACTCCACAAAATAAGAAAAGAAAAAAAAAATTTGAGGATTTGGTTATGTGACAACACACCAGTAGAAAATATGAATCCTACTATAGAAAATCCATCATAATCAAATTTGAGAAATGTAAATTAAAAAATTATCTCAAGCCACCCCTATGAAGTTTCTCCTTTGAAAGTTTGGAACTTAATTCCATTGTGTTTCTTCTTGAGAGAGAGAGAGAGAGAGAGAACAAAATAATTTGTTTTGCTACTGACAATTAAATCTGAGCAAAGAATACATTGAGTTTGTCACTATATAAATGGAATTTTTGTCTTCTTATAGAGTCTATTATGGCCTTTCATAACACTGCTCTGTGAAAGTCAGTGTATTAAGTTGGATAATATGATCGGCTCCTTTATCATTTTCCTTTTTTTTGCATAATTGATTCTTTTTAGAGCAAATTTCATTTTGCTCCCAAACCTATCACTCTAAAATCAAAATCTAGACCACGTGTTCTGAGAGAACATCTTCTTCTGAGATTTGGAAACGATGTTGAACAATGAAGATGAATATTACCCACATGGTTTTTAGCCTACTATTAGTCGATTAGTCCTATTGAAATTAATCTAGGAGATAAGCTAGATACAATTGCTAAGAGAGAAAGAGTAGATTTTTTTTTTTAATTTTTTTTTTTAAAATTTTGGGCTCAATTAGTTTCCCTAGGGTGGACTGAGGGTACTTTAAAACTTAAAGCTACAATTTCAAATTAAGTACATATTTGAAATAAATTTTTGTAAATTTTATTATTTAAAATTTATTTTTCTTGCTTTTTTAGATAAAAATTATTATTAGATAGTTAAATTTAATTTTGTTAATACATTCAGGAATCTAATCGATATTTTGGGGATAGTTTGTGGGGGGTAAAATGAAGTTTCAAATGCAGTTTCAATGCCACGTCATCAACTTTCGTTTGATTATAGACGACAACTGATGGCGGGGTAAAATTGATCTAAAATCGAATAGTTTACGCGTAAAATTGATACTATTAAAAGAATAGGGGTTGCGTTGACTTGAGTGATTATTTAGGGGGCAAAATGAAATATTCTCTCTCTCTCTCTCTTTCTCCCTTTTTTTTTTTGGTGTGTGTGTGTGGAGTTTTTTGTTTCAAATGTAGATGTAGATATATTGTGAGTTATGAAGAAAGAATACATTGAGTTTGGCACTATAAAGGGTAGTTTTGTCTTCTTATAATATAGCGTATATTATGGCTTTTCATGACATTGGTCCATGAAAGTCAGTGCCTGTGGCGTTGTGGCCTAGTGACATGGAGGCAGCAATTAAGTGCTTGCAAGGGAGAGGTTGAGGGTTCAACTCCCCCATGGTGCTAATCTAACAACTAACAACTGAATTTTGCCAATCAAAAAACAAAAAAAAAAAGGCTAATACGATCAACTTCTCTATCATTTTCCTTTTTTGGATACGTGAATTCTTCATTGGAGTGTTTTTTTTCTTCCCAAATGTATATAGTGAGTTCTGAAGAAAGGTACAAACATAGTCTTATTATGGTCGTGAATTTGACAACTTCTAAGAAAGGGCAACATTTTCCCAATTCAGCAGAAGTCCAAACATAGTCTTATTATGCCTGTTTTAGACATGGGTAAATAAAAATTCTTGTAGTAGTCATATTGGATATGCTATGTTATGTAATAGGAAATTTTCATATTTAATTTAATATATATATATAATATTTATCAAAAAAAAAAAAAGTATATATAATAACAGAACTCAAAATATTACCAATTCCATTGAGTCCATGTGACCTAAGAATTTCATAATTAAAGCATATTGACACCAGACACATTCATATATGATTTAGTCACCCAGATTCATGTGACATAGGAATGACATGTCTGGTGCCAAAAACGAAATTTGAATGTGTAGGTAACTGGGATGTAATGTAACATTATATAAATGCTGAAATGTGTTCTTATTTAAAGTTATTTCTCAATTGTGTGCTTTTTTAAAATTATTTTCGAAAGTTCGAACATCTGTTTCTTTCACCTTCTTCGTGGTTTCTCCATTTCAAAAGAATTCCATTTTAGGCAGTTGTAAATGTGCCCTTTCTAAGAAATAAAAAAATAAATTAACATTGATGAGTCAATGTTGTCATAAACATGCATGAGGTAATGTATACCGGTTATGAAATCTTTCCCATAGAGAGCCAAACTTTTGGAAATGAATTATTCAGCAACGGAAAATTAGTTGGCAGAGGTCTATAATATTGCAGGTCATAATGCTGGGACTGACTGTGATTAAATTCAGAAATCCATTGATATCCATAAATACATTAAAGAGCTCCTTTCCTCACATATAGCTCACATGAAATAATTATGAGCTCTCTGTTGCACATTGAGAAAGTTGTCCTGAGTGTAATTGAAATTAATGGAAATGCTTTTTTTATTTATTTATTATAATTTTAACTTAATATTCCACTTCTTGTCCTCCCTCAGGAATGGAAGCGTGATCTGCTTTCAATATGGGAACAAGATGAGCCAGTATGCAATTTGAGCTAATGCCAATCTTTTTTTTTTTGGATAAGCAAATCATATTATAACCAAAAAAGAAAGATATACAATGAAATTCAATACGCATCTTTTGTAGGGAGAACAAAAATAGACAAAAACAAACTACATCAAAAGAAACAAAACAAAGCCTATAAAAGACAAAACACAACATTCACAACAAAAAGGATTTAAAATTTCCCTCAAGCACTCTTCAAGTTATGAAGTTTTGCTTTGAGTTTTGTTCCGTTATCCTCCTTTGTAGTCTCCCCATTACTGGGGTCACTTGGAGATGGACTTCCTCTATTTTTTAGGCTCTTCATTTGGCATAACAACTCTTGACTTAATTCTCCATTCCCTAACTCTCTCATATCACACGATTCACGGACATCAAAGGCATTAGATGTTGAGGGGGTGGAAGACTGCGTCGCTCTCTCTTTGTTTATCACTGTCGTTGAACCTTGCACACCATCTCTTCCCTTGTTCTTTACCATTTCCCATTTAGTTGGAATTTGTATATTAGTCTCCTTGACTCTCCACTCTTGTTTGAAAGAGGGAGGGTTCAAAGTCTTTGGCTTTTGAGGACACAAATTAATGGTATGACCAAAAGTCTTACAAACATCACATCTTTGAGGCTTCCATGGAACCTCAACTCGAATCTCATACGGGTCACTATAACCAAGATTTATTTTGAAAGACTCAGGAATCTCTTTATTTGCTGGCACTTCAATACATATTCTCGCAAACGCAAGTCTGCTTCTCTTGAAAGTAGGCTCATCCAAGTAAAGAGGAGTTCCCATGATGCTAGCAATGTAACCCAAACCCTCTTTAGTCTAAAGCTCCAAAGGAACATTATACAACTTCACCCACAACGGCACACTCGAAAATTCACACTTTGTTAGTTTTAGTGCAGGTTGTCATTTTTTTAACAGTAATCAATCTAGCTCCAACGTAATAGGGGCCATCTTCCAAAATTTTGTCCATAGCCTTTTCACTTTTTACTTTAAAAAAAAAAGAAAAAAAGCGATTATCAATGGAGACAACATCCTCAAGCAAATTTCCCCAAAGTTTCTCTGCCCAAGTTTTCACATAATGGAAAGAGAATCTTTTGTCAATGAAGTATCCAACCAAGGCATTTTCCCAATGAAAAAAAGCCTTTTTTTGAGATCTCAGCAGGGCATTGTACATGCCATCTACTAGGTTCTCAATCTTATGGGCACCTATTTTATACTTCATTTTTGACACCTTATTAATCTCTTTTTTAACTAAAGAGCTCCAAGCTTGTAGAGGCTTACTTGATATAGCAGGTGTATCACCATCAAGACATTCGCCCTTGCCAGATTATGCGTCTTCCATATGTAGTTCAACCAAATCCTTGCTACAAGCTTGCACATTTTCAAAAGTCTTCCGTTACTTGGTGCCCATTACTTCTCTCCTTTGATCAATACTGAGTGAGTCAAGTTTATTTGACATTATTATTTCGTTTGTGCCAGTGGGGACACAATGGCCAATTTTGGCCACTGCTCAAGATTAGTTAGCACTCTATTTGGTGTGTTTCATGCATTAGGTGTTTGATTCTTCTTTGATGATTGCTCAGTTGAGACTTGTATTTCCACATTCAATTGCAATCGTGGTGTACCAAGATTTCTACACAAACATAGATCGACACAATCACACTTGATTGAGCTATCCTCTAATTCTACATCCCTTAATCCCCTTTTCTTTTCATTTGAGGGCCCTTGCCATGGTCCCACAAAATCTCCAGATAAGAGAGATTTGGGGGGTCCTCAGATGCGTGTATACTGGCAGGGGAGTACAGTAGGCATCTTATTGGTAGATAGTTGAGCATCCACCTGATTAGCAAACTCCTTCAAGGATACCTTAGTTGATTTGCACTTGGCAGCTTTGCTTTTTGATTTAATCTTGGCTAATTTGCTCTTGGCTAGTTTGCCCTTCTTGAATGATAGCTTGCTACTTTCTCTGTCCCTCTCTCCTTAATCATCTTATGACAGCTTAGTGGCAGTGTTTTCACTGAGGCATTTTGTCGAACAGGTGGGGGGCGACTCAGGACTAGCAAACAAAAGCTCTCACAGCTGCGAACCTGAGAGATGTAGAAAAGAAAGAGCTCTTTACCCAAACTCTGGTTCACTCTATGGCGTAAGAGAACTCCGGCGGAAGGCTATGGTCGTGATTTTCGTTCAGCTCTTGTTTCGTCTTTTCTAGCTGCTGTTTCATTCTGCTCTTTACCCGTGCTCGCTAATGCCAATCTAATTCAAGCATCTTTACCATTTGTTTTGTTTAGTTCTGCATTTTCAGGTAATCACTTAGCTTTAAGTGGCGCTTATTTTCATGCATTTGATTAATCACTTCTGATTTAATTTCAGCAACTTACTGGTGATATGAACCATATGAGTTTGAAATGTGTAGAAAATTTAATGTATAAAGAGAAATAGAGTAATCACTTCTGATTTAATTTCAGCGACTTACTGGTGATATGACCCATATGAGTTTGAAATGTATGATATTTTCTGGCCAATTTTGCATAAAAATTCTATTTTATTTAAATAGTTTAAGATCTTGGGTTAAAAGAAGAAAAAGAAAAGAAAATTGTTATTGTCTCAAAATTTTTGCTGCCTCAAGAGGTTGAGTGCATCATATGGCTCTAAATCTTCCATAGGTAACCATATGTGGTGACGATAATCCCTTTCCTTTTTTTGAACTCTCTTCGACTCTAGAACTTTCCAAGCTGAATGTGACTAATTAAAATGTTCTTGAACTTTCTTTGACTCAAGAAAGAACATTGATTTCATTTGAATTTAGTGTGCTTCCCAATTTGTAGTAGTTTTCTTACTGTAGGTGGAGGACAATGCCGGTTGAAGAAACATGCTTTTGTGTCTGTTTTTCCTTTTACTTGTGTGTATTGAAGTGATAAATTAACTGATTCTTCGACCAATTATGCTTGTGCTGTGGATAAAATTCTAGAATTTGTAAATGCAGGTATATAATGAAGCCATATTAATATGTTAAGAAGCAGGGATACTTGAAGAAGGTAACGTGTCATGTCCGACACTGATACGACATGACTCTCGATGTACACTTTCTAACACTTGGACACACATAAAACACATTACAAGTTTGAATAAAATAACTTGAATGTAATGATAAAACAAAAACGATGTAAATTTGTATCTATTATCTTCTTTTGGACTTTAAAAATTATTAGTATTTGACTAAAATATTCAAATATGTGACATATAATAATTATTTATCCTTATATATGAAATATAGTAAATATACAAAATTATAAGTTTTCCATGTGTCCCTCACGTGTCGTGTCCTAAATTTTTAAAAAATTTATGTATCGATGTGTCAATGTTGTGTCCGTGTTGTGTCACGTGTCCGTGTCCATGCTTCTTAGTTAATATGTAATTAATTATTACCATAGACCTTGGTTCTAGTTTGCATGAGCTTGAACACTGCCTCTTCTCATTTCTGTGGATTTTCCTTTCTTTTATATCCTTTATTTGTGAAAAAGAATCCCTGATTTTTGTTCCTGTTTAGGGATTGTATGTTGAGACTTGTGTTTTCCATTTGACACGACAGTTTTTTTTTTTTTGGTTATTTCAGGGGACAACCATACAAGTGGTACTTGCATTGATTCATATTATCTTCAATTTTGCAGGAAGTGAAGGAAAATTTTAATGAATGGCTTCATTGTGGAGGATTGCTTTGTGCCTTTAAAAGCTTCGGACTTTGAAGATATGTTGAGGCCATGTCTAGATCAGGCTGGCCTGAAGGCAAGCTCCAAAGGACATCTAGTGTGCCAACACTCGGGTGGGGAGAAGTTTGACGCATTCATTTGTTAGCACTTCAGACAAACTGGTATGTGTACCTAATCACAGGTAAAAATTGTTTATGAAAGCCCAAATTCAAATTAGTTTATATTAATATAAATTTATGTGTGTTCTGGGTTTCAAAATTTGAAAAAACACGTAAGGTAGCTCATATGTAAAATATTGGATTGGTTCGATCCACAAGTTTTTTTTCAGGTAGTTTGTCCACCCTTTGTTTCCATTGTGGTATTGGGTCTAACCTCGTAGTCAAATTGAAGCCGTTCTCTTTGTTGACCTTCACAACCAAGATCAACAGCTAAGATTCACTTCTATGTTAGTTGTCATTATTAAAGAATGAAAATGAGTTGCATAGTGAAAATCAGTGGTTGGGGATACAAGTTGGTACTCTAAAAATCTGCCCAAATCTGGCTGGAAAGCAAATGGCACTGTTGATGACATTTTTTGGACCACAGACTGGGCCCAGTCTGCTAAGATTGGGGGCTTGGCAAGAAAACAGAAGAAGATATGCCCCACGTGTGGGTGGGCTTGGAGGGCAAGTCAAGGTTGGCATTCTTCCTGGGGGCCACACGTGTGAGAGTCCCGTGTCTATTTCAGGGACAGACACGTGTGAAGTGGATTTAGGAATCTCATTCCCAGTAATTTGATAACTGGTAAATCTCATTAAAGTGTTTAGATAATTCAAGAAATTAATGTAGGATTTTTATTTTTAATTTTTAAGAGTGTTTAGTTTGACATTTTTGGATGTAGGAATGTGAGATTAATGGAGGATTAGATTCCTCCTTAATTTAGGGAACTGATTTCGCCTAAAAGGGTAAATCAGGAATCATGTTCTTATTCCGATCGCATTAGTCATGAAATTACATATCACATTTTTATTTCCCTTCAAAATTACTGTCATTCAAATATAACCTTACAAAATGTGTTATTAATTTAAGTAGTTGTCATATGGAAGGATAAAAGCCTTTACTCTCCATAACTTATCCACCAACATCTCATTAAACATCCATCTCATGTTACTCCTTTTTTCTTAACTTTCATTGTCAATCCAATCCATAATTGTCCCAATAATATACTCCAAAAAAAAAAAAAACTAAAATAATGAAATAAATTATTTATCATTTAAAATATGTGAATTAGGTTACCTACATCTTGTAATGGTCATTAGGAGTGGCATTTTGTATCCAGCAATCCCTTCCTCATCATGATGCTCTCGCAACTCGAATTTTTGACAACTTGTCAGATCAAGTTTCATTATCTCTGAAAAACCCAAAGGATTTCACTTATATATTTTATGACATTCGGCATTGAACTTGCTTGTCTGTTTTTAGAGAAATCGTAAAGAATAGTATTATGTACCCAACAATGCCACGCTTGCTCCCATTCTCTCTCATGTTATTGATTATTCCTTACTTTCTCCTTAATGGCAGATTATTGTTGTTACTATCAAAGTCATCCTCTTTGTTGGGACAATTGTCTCAAAAAGCAAAAATTTCTTTCACTTTCGCCATTAAAATTTTCCATCCCAACTTGGTTTAAACATGTATCAATCACCTCAAAGTCTCACTTTCTCCATTATTGTTCAGATGATGCTTACTTATTTCTTATTATCACTCATAATTATACACCTTAAGGGTATTATCATGTTGAATCTTTTTGGCAAAATCTAAGTGCCTTTAGTGAAAGAATGTTAGTGATTTGTCAATGTCAACCTTTTGTTATGCCAGAGTAGATATAACTTTGTTTAGCTAGTAATTATTAGAACATCCTACAAAAGTCCCTAATGCTAAAAACGGTTAAAAAAAATAGCAACATTTAAAAACAAAAAGATAGGTCAACCTAAAAGACAATTTTTGGAAAATTTCCAAAAAAAAAAAAAATAGATCTAATAACAAATAATTGTTTCAATTTAAATCTTGAACCTTTAAAATTGTATTTATTTAACTATCTGCTAGTTATAATTAACTCTGAAGGGACAATTTAGACAATTTAACTACTTTTTGTCGATGGTGTTGGATTGTGGTAGTGACTATGGTTGGGGAATGAATGAAAGGGGTAGCAGTGAGTTGGGGAAGGGGAGGAATAGTGGCCAATGGAGAAAATTGATGGAGGGATGATAGTAGATTGGGGAAAAGGAATAGTGGTGATGGATGAGGGTAAAGGTGAAGTTGGCTATCAACAGTGATGAAAGAAAAAAAAGAGTATTTAAATTGTTTAAATTGCCCATTTTTCATTAATTATAACTAACGAATCTTGGCCTAATAACCGTGAAGTTATGGGTTCAAGTCTCGGGACAACCGCTTTGTGCACTATGGTAAAGGTTAAGTGTATATCCAATCTTTCTCCTCCCAAACACACATTAATGTGTATTAATTGAGCGTTATCTTTTTTTTATTTTTTATTTTTTTATTTATAGATACAAACGGATGGTTAGAATTAATACAATTAAAAGGATATGGTTTAATTTGTACTAAGATCAAACCTTGGTTTTTTTTTTTTTTGGTTATTTCTGTGACATTTTTTTTTGCTTCCTATGATGAACACACACAAAAACAGTTCACTCTTGGAAATCCATTGAAACCACAAAGATTGAACATTTTTCCAAATTTGATCAATTGGTATTGCTCCATTGCTTCTGTTCCGGAACCCACTTCGGACACTTGGGACTAAAATACTTCCCCACAACTTTCTCATTCAAGATCTCAACAATAGGCTTAAGCTTAACACACCGAGGTGTCTTATACTGATTAATTGAAGCACCCAAACAACTAATTGCATAATCCATAACCTTATCAAACGTCCCTGTCTCCACAACCTTAATCTCTAGAGCCCCAATTGACTTGTCCGAGACACGTCCTTGTCGGTACACAGTGTTGAGCGAGTCTTCAACGGCGAGACAACAATCTTCGAAGACTGAGGGTGGGATTGGGGTTGTTGAGCCATTGTTGACTGTGAGTTCCCAGAAGAGGACATAGTGGCCTGGGATTGTTGAAGTGTCGGCGTAGCTCGTGTAGTCTGTTAGGGATGTGTTGAAAGGGGTTAAGTGGGTGAGGGAGTTTTTGACAGCATTTTGGAGCTCAAGTTCATCGGTTTTGTCGGAGTCGATGCTTAGGACAACGTTTTTGCGGCGGAGGAAGGTGAATTGGGGGGATTTGTTTTTGAATCCGGTGACTCGGAGGATGTCTCCAACTCTGTAACGGTAAAGTCCTGCAATAGTATCCAATTAGATTAATTGTCTCTAAATTATAACAATCTGTTACTTCTAAGATCAAAAATTAAAAAATTAAATTGTAACACGACGTATATTTTGGAACCATTAACATTATTAATCCTAATTTGATGAATTATGAATTTAAGATTTACCTGCATAAGTGGTGACAACAAGCTCATACTCTTGGCCAAGCTTGACATCGACAAGATCAACAAGTTGTTTATGTTCCTTCTCATTGAGGGATTTGGGCCTGGTGATAGAATTGGTGACACCATTATTGTTTCTATGAACAGGCAAGAACTCAAAATAGGCCATGGTGGGAATGAGAGTATAAGCAACATCACTAGGCTTGCAAAGAGGGTTGAGATTGACACCAAAATAGCACTCTGAGGAGGCATACATGGTGCACACAAGAGGCAAGCCATTGCTATAGTAATCAAGTGTTGGAATGTACTGTGACATTGTCCCTGTCACAATCACATCCACATACTTGGTGTTTGGCCACAACCTGTTGAAAAAACAAGACCATGTGAGTGTTCTATGTTTGTAAGAGCAATCTTTACATACCCAGAAAAAATACTCAAAAGTTACTTAAAATTTATAATTAAAGGCTAAGATTCATTCATGATATAACCCTACAATAAGAACTTTAAATATACACCTTAGATTTACATTTTGGGTAGTTTCTTGATCATTAAACAGATGGTCATAAAGTATGATTTAGTCTCTAATTTTTTAATTATTCCTCTTTGGTCTCCAAAGAATGCAGTTGGCTATACTTAGTCCTTTGCATTAGTATAGTTCAAAATCAATAATAGGAGGGGGCATTTTTTATAATTTTATAAAATAATGCAAATAATTAAAAGATTAGGGACACAAAATGCAAGAAAGTGCATATTTTGGAGACAAAAATGAAACAATATGCATATTTTAAGAGCTAAAATGTTACAAAATGCATACTTTTAGACCATGTGTTTATTTGGTTATTTTGATTTTGTTGTTGCTTTTTGTAAAATTTCTAAAATACTCCTCTTCAGGTTACTAATTTTGAACAACGGTGACGTTAAAACATATTGCGTACTTTGAGGACCGAAGTGAAACAATTAAAAGATTGGATACTAAAATGTAATAGAATGTGTACTTTGAGGACTACTAATATAGAAATTGACGGAAACAAACCTAGTTATGATCCCTTGCCATGACCCCTTCCTACATTCCGCCTCGATGAAATCCGCTAGCTTCGTGTCTAGTTCAAGAATTCTCATCACAGCCTTCCTCACCGACGAGTCAGTTATAATTTCTGGGTTAAGTGTTCCGGTTCGGATATCATGACAAAGAAGGGGCCAGTGCTTCTCTAGAAACTGGATTGCCCGGATGAATCCAGAAGCGAAAACTGCCCCAACCCGAAGGACTTGCTTGTTTTGGCATAGGCCACATAGCATTTGGGAGTACAAGCTCTGGTAAGAGTCAGGGCAGAGAATGGTTTCGTTAGGGCTAGTGTAGTTAGTGTAAGGGTCATATGGTCTGTCCTTGAAATGGGCACTTTTGTAGTAACTGGTTAGGACTGGTCGAGCCACTAGACCACTAGGGGTCTTGGACTCGGACTTTATAAAGAGAAAGTACATTCCTTTGCCTTTGTCTAGACCCGGTACAAACTGGTTCATCACTGGCATTAGAAGGCTGTAAAGCAGTGATCTTCTCTCAAGCTCTTCATCAATTGTGGGCATCAGTTTTCTCTCTCCTCCTGACGTCCCAGAGCTGCACCTCAAAATAAAACCGGTTAGTCGGGAGAAAATCTTGAACACCCTCGATAAATAAATAAATAAATTCACATAGCAAAATTGTCTAAAAATTGACGTGGAATACAACAGTTTATAAGTTGACTTATTTTTTACTCTTTTGTTTTCAGTGATTTTTTTTTTAATTAAACATTAAAAAAAAATTTCGCAAAAAATGAAAATGGGGAAATTTAAACCAGTAGTCTTATAGTGTCAATTTAGTTAAATAATTAGTAATGTTTCTTTAGAAATTTGACTGAAATCAAAGCGGCAAAATAGTTGATTCATTAACGAACCATTTTGCCCATCAAATTTCTTAATAGAAGTTGTTAACTAGACTAAATTTACATAATGTGAAAAAAATAAAAAAAATGATATAAATAAAATTATAGGAATCAAATTAAGACATGTGACAAATTACAGGGATTACATGTATAATTTACTTCTTAAAATAAGTTAAATTTTGTCAAAAAGGCATAATTTTTTTTCCTTATATTAAAAAAAATAAAATCATTTAGTCGGAACGAATTTTAAAAAATTAAAACAATAGTAATTTTTTTTACTAATTAAAAAAAATAGAATTAGAAGCTGCTGACAAAAAGAAAAGTTAATTGCATTACTATTAGTGAATATTACATGTTTCATTTATGAATTCTTACATGTTGCCCTCTTTAATTATAAAAATCATATAAATACACTATTTTCGAAGGTGATATGAAGTCGGTCAGTTTGCAAAGGTAAAAGTGTTGCGTTTTTATACTTGAGAATGTCAAAATATACAGATTCATAAATAAATGGATAAAGTGATATTTGTTAATTATTAAGAGTTCTTGAATATAGCTGGTATATGGACAAACCTTGTTAGGAATTCAGAAATGGGTCGTGAGCAGAGAATAGGAGACTCATCACCGGCGGCGATACGGTTGATATCAGGTTGTATATCTTCGTATTTGATGACTGGCACAAGTTTCTTGAAGCTCTGTGGATCAGTTTGATGCTCAGAAAGGCCGTGTCGCTGTAAGTACTCGATGCCAGCATTACGAGTGAGGATTTCAGCTAGAACTCTCCTCTGGACTTCGTCGGCATTAGCCGTAACATCTTCAATGAACTGAAGAGCCTTCTTGTTTTTCTCTGTAAGAGTATTGGCTGTCCCATTTGGTGGGTCTTTTGGAGCTTCAGGCATGGTGCCAAGACAAGTATGAGAGAGAGAGAGAGAGAGAGAGAGAGAGAGAGAGGAGGGGGGGGTTTGGGTGTGGGGAGAAGAAGAGAGATGGGGTGTGTTTATATAGAGGAAAATGGAGGTGGCTTCTTGTCCACATTGCAGGGTTTAAAAGTGCAGACAAACAGTAAGATAATGGCTTGGCTGTAATTAGATAAACCCTTTTATGGCATTCTTGCTTCCAATTTCACAACATGTTTTATTATGGGTAATTGTATTTGTGCACCCCAACAAAAAAAATCTCAGTACACATTATCTATATCGTTTGTATACTAATTTTTAAATAAAAATAAAATATTTAGATATGAACATATGAATAAAAATGTTGAAACCATTGGGGGTGTCAAAATTTAAAAATCTATGTCAAAAATAAGGGGAGAAACTCTCAAACTCCTCTTCCGAAACATAAAAAATTCAAATTTACACTTTGAAAGTGTTTTTGAAGCTCGTCGAAAAGTCGCTAGAGGGGTGCCGAAAATCACCTAGAGAGAGAGGCTCTCCATTGGATCATAGATTATGTGTATTGGGATTTCATGCGATTGTGTGGATAGACTTTCCCTTTATTATGACTGATAAAAGACATAAATTTCCGTACTTTAATTTATGTGTTATTTTTGTAAAAGATCACTGAAAACAAAAATTCAAAAAAAGAAAAAGAGGAAGTCTTTTTACCGTATGTCAAGCACCATCTTAACTCTATTTGGTTGTTAAGGATTCAACTAAGTGTAAACTATCACAAGTCATGCCACATTGAAAGTGTTATTTCAAATTCAAGAAGGCCTACAACCCTGTGTTTCTGTTAATAATCACCATGGTTTTTGCATGGTGTTTGGCTTTAAAACATTGTCCCCATAGAAAGAAAAAGAAAAAGAAAAAAATAAAAATCGTCTCCCAATTCATGTAATGTAATCATATAGAATAATGCTTGAGACCCCCTTTTGGGGGTCACCCCCTCACCCCCTTTGCCACGTGGCGGGTGGTGATTGGAGGAGCAGGAAAAAAAGAAAGAAAGAAAAGAAAATGTAACCAATGAGAGAGAGAGGTGGTCAAAGGGAGTGGAGGGAAAAGGGGGGATGAATCATTGTTGAATCATATATAGGTTCTGCTTTGTCATTTCAGCAACCCTACCTTGCTGAATTATTGAATTGTAAGCTTTTGTTCTCCTTTCTTCACTAACAAAATCATGAAAGAGTTATGAAACATGTTGAAAGCAAGAAAGAAATGTGGCAATGGGATATTCACCCCCATATATGTCTTCTAATGTTTATGTCTTTTTTTTTTGCCCATATCTTTATGGAACATTTTTCCAATGTGAGGAGACTCACTTTGTACAAATAATATCAAAGCTTAGTTCTGTATCTCATTTATTTCTTCTCGAGTAATTATTCAATATTTTCAGAGTATCATGTGATATTATTTATGTGGTGTTTTGAACCAATCACGTAGCAGAACTTTTACAAATAAGACCTGTTGACTCATCTTTGTCAGGTAGTTAAAAGACAAATGATGACTTACTTAGCGCATCTTGCTATTTTTTACTAGTCAAAAATACCATATAAAAATAAAGATAAATTATCAATAGGTCCTTAGACTTTTTACCCATTAAATTTTATTGATAAATTTATCAGTCTCTTTTGTTGTTATAAATAAATTTGTAGTGATAATTTTTTAGTCAAGGCTAGTAGGTAAATAAGTTTTAAAAGTAAGACATATTAATAATTTATCTCATAAATAATATAAAACGATATTTTGGAAATATTTAATAATTTTTCTTAGGAATGACATCTTGTCCCCCTCGGCTCGGCCTTGTCATAAAAAAAATGGAGATGGGATGATTTTTGCTTTCCCATCTTGTTTTTTCGGCCCAAACCCAATGATATTAATTAAATACTTTTTATGTATATATATAACTTTCTTTCACTTAATAAATTTTACAATTATTTATTTATTAAAGTATCACATAAATAAATTACATGATATTATGAAATTACTTAATAATTTTCAAGTTATATATGTAGAATAACTTAGCCATTGTTTGGGAAGTGGGTTTGGGGCTAAAATAGTCCCAACAAAACAAAATAGGCTTTTTAGCCCCAATAAGACAAAACATCACATCTAATCCATAATCATTACATTCTTTCTCTCACAAAAAGTTAAAAAAGTCAAAAATCCTTCTCAAATCAGGCTTTTTAGCCCTAGGTTAAAATAGCCAAAAAATTAAAAAGTCAACCCACTTCCCAAACCACACCTTAGAGTGACTTGAATTTGTGACCTTAAATTTTATCATCAAATTTTTACACTTGATGGCTATATATTGTATCATGTTTCTCAATTTTGGAGGTTAGGATTGGAAGACTAGTGATAAGTATTTTGTGACCTTAAATTTTATCATCAAATTTTTACACTTGATGGCTATATATCTATATCATGTTTCTCAAATTTGGAGGTTAGGATTGGAAGACTAGTGATAAGTATTTTGTGACCTTAAATTTTATCATCAAATTTTTACAGGTTAGGATTGGAAGACTAGTGATAAGTATTTTGTGGAGAGAGTTTAAGCGTTAGTTGTTGATTATGGCCATAGCAAGTAGGACAGGATAAACATTAATAAGTTGAATTCTGAATACATTGACAAGATGTACCAAATGGAAGACCAATAAAGAAGATAAAAAAGAAGATGATGAGTTGGGATGGATGGGTTTTGTGATTCCAAAGCAAGCAATTTTCCATCATTAATCACGACTAAATATTGGATGTAATAGTGATATTACATGTGGTACCATTATTCACTGAGTATTCTTGATTTGCAGTAGAGATCATAATATTGTTAGATTAGTGGGAGATAAGAATTGTCTATTTAATATATTTGTGACTTTTTATTAATTGGTGATACTACCTTAGATGGTGTTCTTGGTGCACTCAATATTTATTCCGTTAACCACAAGCTTAGATTACTTGATTATTGTCTTTGGATTATGAGAAAGTGTTGGCTATGTTTGAATTATGAATTTGCGTAAGAATTTGAAAAAAGAAAATGAAAAGATAGGTGAAATGTGAATAAAATATAACTATATTTTATCCACCTCTCCTCTCCCCCTAAAAAATTATTACCTAACTGATTATTTTTCAATTTAATTTAATTAATTAATTAATTAATTTTTTTTTACAGAATGATAATAAAAGATGTGTTTTCGATGTGAATTCTATGTAAGTTTTACATATTTATCTTACACTTATGTCTCATTGTGTGAAAATAAATTAAATTCTGTTTTTGTAAACATAACTGCTGGATCAATAATGAAACACAAAAACCTATCTATCTGTAATGGACTTGGAGCATAGAGTTCCCAAAGCAAATCCCAGATCCAGTGATTGGTTCAAGGAGGAGGTCGAACCTTTTAGCCATCATTTCATGTCCCCCGGTTATATTTGAAGTTGATTAAAGTCATATATATACAAACAGAAGTGCTACAGATTCCTACGACCCTCACACACTTACGAGAAAGATAAAAAAAAAAAAATACATAATGAGTGGTCACCAATCAATTGGGGGTCATGAAAATCACCCATTTTGGAGGTCTCGAGTATTTTTGATATACAAATATATAATTATTAATTGTGAGTGTAAAAGCGATATGTTCGTAATGATTATATATGATAATTATTATTAATTGTTTCAATTTTTTTAATTGTTTAAAATAATTGTTATAATTGTCATATTCAATTGTAAATTGTATACATTGTTTACAATAACTATCATAATTATCCGATCCAATTATAAATTACACGCATGTCGGCTCACCTCTAATATATATAGAGAGAGAGGGTCCAAGATGAGTTTTGTGAGTTGAGTGATTTTGTTTTTCCTTTAAAACTTTTCATTTGATTGTGAAGCAATGGGTGTAAAAAGAAGAGATAAGAGGGAGGTGGCAATGGCAATGACAATGAGGATGACATACATGAAATCAGAAAATGTGGGGAACATATTTATGCAGAAATTGAAAAGAAATAACAAACATAGACAAAACAGGTAGTATAAAGCATTCCTTTGCTTTAAATGGGATTGGATTTGCAATATTTTCCCAATACAAATAGTTTCATTAGGAATTGTGGACCATGGTTGAATATAAATCAAAATGCTGTCTAGTCTAAACAGTGCACTCTATAAGGAGATGAATAAAGATCCGGACCCCTTTTTTTCTCCACCCCCTAACCCCCTCTCAATCTCATTGGACAGTTTTTTTTTTTTTTTTTTTTTTTTTCCCTTCTCCTCCAATTACCACCCACCACGTGTGTGTGGGGGTGGTGGGGGTGGTGATTGGAGGGGGTCTCAATTTTAATAAAAAACAAAAAAAAAAAAAAAAAAAAATTTCAGCCAATGAAAAAACAATGGGGGTGGTGAGTTCACTTCCACTGAGGGCCTTAGTCATTTTCTAAGGAGATATAAGCATGTGTATTCCTCTTGTTTATTATTATTATTATTATTTGTTTATTATTATTATTATTTTTTATGAAACTATTTTCTCGACTTGTGTGTGTGTGTTTGTGAGGTGCTAAAAACAAAGACTCGGTTTGGTTTATTTTTCAAATTATAATTTGATAGCGCAAAACTCCAAAATCTATTTGGTTATGGATTTTTAAAATTCTTATTAAAATATCTATTTGAAAATTCTTTTTAAAATTCATAATCAAATAAGTTTAAATTTTCAAAACTCTTTTAAAAAAACCTTTGATGTTATGTTGAAATTTTCAAATTTAAAATTTTCAAAACTCTATTGTACGATTTGATGTTATGTTGAAAATTTTTAAGAAGATATTTTTGATTGATGTTCGATGAAACCTTGTAATGCAAACTATAGTCACCGTAGAAAAAATTGAAACATCATGATTTGTTATTTCGAATAAATTAAAAATAAATTTTCTGTTTAGTGGGCACAATCAGTTAAATTTAAATTTGATAGATTGATGTGGAATTTTATGTTGTTTTTAAATATTGACCAAATAATTTAACAAAATGTGAAGAAATGAAAACAAATGTAATAAATATGAAACATGTTAAGTGTATATATATTGAGTGGATATAAATCAGAATATTTTTTTTTAAAATTTTAATAACGTTTTTATGAACTAACATGAACATATGAAGCTCTACCTTATAGATTATATTAGATTTATTTAGAATGTACATTTAAATTACGTAGTAAAAGAAGTAAAAAATTTATAAATATAAATATATAACGATAAAAAAATAAATATTTTTTTTGACTATAATATTTTAAATAGTTTTGACTATGTATGTAAAAGAAATAAACAAAATTGACTATAATATTATGAAAAATTGACTACAAAACAAAAAAAAAAAGAAGCATAAGACCCCCAAAAAACTCTAATTAAAAACTAGTTTTGAAAACTTCTAACTAAACAAGTTTTCAATTAGCAAATTTCTAAAAACTTTCAAAATATACAAGTCAAAAACTAATTTCAAAACTCATAACTATTCAAGTTTTAAATTTTCAAAAACTAATTTTACAAAATGAATTTCAAAATTAAACCAAATGAAACCAAAATTGTTATATATTCATGATAGTATACTAGGGCTGAGCAAGTGATCCGTGAAATCCGTAATCCGATCCAGTCCAGTCCAATCCGATAGGTTTGGATTGGTTTTTTGAATCCGCGGTTCGGTTCCGGATTGAAGAATTAAAAATCCGTAGTCTATGAATTGGTTCCGGAATGAATCCTACGGTTCCGGATTGGAACCGATCCGAACCGTATACAAATAGTCTATATTTTTATTATACATCCTCCCCCATAGTATCTTCTCTTAATTCTATATAAAATCTAAACTCAAACCTAAAACCGTATAATATTTTCTTTTATTACTCTTGTTTGTTGGTTTTTAGTTTTAATTTGTAATGGTTTAAATACTTATGAAACCAAATTTTCTTATGGTTGTTTAAATTTTAGAACAGTATGTCGCTATTATAGAAAAATATGTTGCTATTATAGAAAAATATGTTGCTATTGTGGAACTAATATAGCGCTATGTTTATATTTTTATAAAATTAAAGTGTTATAAATATATTTTTGTTATTTAATTATGTGAATCCGTGGTCCTAAACCGATCCAATCCGTATTTAAATGGATTGGTTCGGATTGGTTCTATGATTTAAACGGATTGGATTGGTTCCAATTTTTTAGGAACTGTAAATAACGGATTGGTCCTGATTTTATCCCAATCCGGACCATGCTCACCCCTATAGTATACAGAATTTGAATATATACTGCCGATTTACACTTAGTATAGCATAGATCATATGCCGAATAAATTTAATTCACATATTTTAAATTTTAAATATATTTTTAAGTATTTCTTTCTTTCTTTTTTTTTTTTTTTGCAAGTACATAACATTGAAAAATATTGGTTTACCAACAAATGCATGTGTCATGTCTCCCAACAATTGACACCCTCCAATGAAGAATGGAAAGAGAATTGCATAATTGTGTCTTTGTTAACCATCCTTTTGCCCCCACCCCCCTCATTCTCTCCCTTGTGAGGAAAGTGGATGAACATAACTATAGCCATGAGTGTGCCTCCACAACTCCTTTCAAATTAATCATATTTTCAATAATTGTTGTTTATGGGTTAAGTGTACTTGGACATGGGTATGAGTTGTACCCCTCTTAATGATTATGAAATCTGTCATAAAATCTCGAAATATAAAAATTTCAAGACACAATCGTATAACTAAAAGCGGATTAAGTCCACTTTCCCCCTTTCATGTTTCATTCTCAGCATTAAAAGAACATGTATGCTCAAAAGAGAAAAAAAAACCAAACACAATGGGTCCTCCCATGATCATACAACTAGTTGGACACCTTCAAGAAATTGATAGATATTTCCACCAAAGCATTTAATGAGGCAAATTGCAAATTCGTTTCTTGTTCGATGAGGACCCCTGCAATTTGAGGGTGTTTCCAGAGAGACAATGACTCCATTAACTTTATTTCTTTCAGATATAGTTTAGAAAAAAGGATATCCAATCATGAGCAAGAACATAAAACCCCACCATGATCACCGGCATGTTAAAAGGCATCGATGAGTCCAGAATCATCAGGATAGTGATCATGTATTCGGATAAGTAGAAACCCTAGATATGAAAACAAACGAGCATCATCTCATTCAAACACCGAAACATCTCCACTCCAACTGCATGAAGCAACAACGTTAGGCATGGTGGGATGGAAAGCAACATCAATGCATGCCTGCTCGTATGCCTTGATTTTTTTTATGAGCTCGGTGGATCTAGAATTGTAGAAGTAAATACATCCATCAGAGGAGCCTGACACGAGCATCTCTCCATCCGAGCTGAAATTACACTTGATAGGGAAGCCGGAAACCCCGTGGCCTTCATACCTCTTGTATTTGTCAAGCTTGAAAGGGGGTTTGGATGAGAATATAGCAATATAATTCCCATTTGACTGTGCAACAAAATAAGAATCAAATGGGTGGCACCTAATACAGGGACATGTATACGCTTCCACATAAACCTGTAATATTGAAGGAAAAAAAATGTGGTAAATTGAAGACGAATCAAAATGTCCAAAACATGAATCACATATCCATATATATAATTACAAGGGTGCTTACAAATTATATCATACCAAAAAAGAAAAAAGAAAAAGAAAAAGAAAGAAAGAATGAGAAGGATTGAAATAAATTGGAGAACAGTAATCTGTGTTCAAATCTAAAGGGCCAAATCTTTAATATAATATTGCCATTATATTGAAGCAAAGAAACACTTAATGTTATGACTCATATCAAAATGATTAATAACAAGCGTCAATAAAACAAAGAACCGATCATGCTCAGTTTCTACTAATACATTAGTTAATTTCATTATGCAACAATACATGTAAATTGTAATTGATGATGTCACAAAGAAGTCATTGTTAAAATATCACGTGAGAGAGCACACAAAAAAGTTTCTTACCTGATTAGACAGGGGAACTTGTCGTGAGATATCCCAAACAATTATTGAATTCTCACTTATGTTGCCTTTGGATATATCGCTTGAAGAAATGAACTGCTTGGCATCAATGGTGAATTCAATGTCAAGAACTGGACCTAGACCTCGAATATACTCATGTACTACTTTCCCGACTCTAATATCCCATAATCTAAGGAAGCCCTTCGACCCTCCAGAAAGGAAGAGGTTGGAGTTGTTTGGATGAAATTTTATGACTCCAACAACTTGGTCCTCCTTGAAAACCTGAGTCTCTAAACCGCTTTCAACATCAATTAGCCTCGATGAGCAGTCGTATCCACAAGAAAGCACAAACAGTCCCTGCGGTGACCACTTCACATCTTTAACTGCCGCATTGTGATAGTTCAATACATGTGCTTTCTTTTGATCTCTGCTCCACACATTCCAAATGCAGATGGTATGATCCATCCCAGCAGATGCAAGAAGATGGGCTGAAGACTAACTTTAATGGAAGATCAGAAAGGCAAAGATGTTGTATGATGAAACCAAAAAAACACTATAACTCAACACTTGTAACAATTAATTGGAGACTCTGAAGATCGATATCCAATAATAAGTTCAACAAACAAGATGCATGGAGCTTTAGTTGAAAACAGTTGATGGGATTTACGACCCTCTATTCTGTAGTTTCAGAAACCTTTTCTATGACATGGATAGAGTAGAGTTTTTTAGAAAATAAAAAGGAAAGGTTAAATATCAGTATGAATTCTACAATAGGATAAAGTACTCACCATGACTTGTTGACCACTGTACAACGTTGACAGCCTTTGAATGACCATTAAGAGCTACAGACAGCCTTTCAGACAATTTGCCTACCCCTGCACGGCCCTTTGTTTGATGCCTCAACGAGGACAAAATATCATGCGATAGATCTGAATCCAAAATGCTCCCGACAACTGACAAGAAGAATGAGCCTAAAGTTTAGTGTGATTGCAACTTCCCACTGAATGAAATTAAACGGTTAAGAGAAATGATTTTGCAAGTATCAAATTGAAAAAAAATACATTGCATATGATAATGAGTTAAGAGAATTACGAAGCACATGTTGATGGTGATTAAGGAGGAGAGTTTCCCACCTATATTAGACAAAGGCAGCATCAACTAAGAATTCAGATTAATCCATGAAGTTTAGTCTCAATAGGATTTATATGTATTTTGGAAATTTTTTTCTAATTTTTGTTTCCTTATTGGGCAGTGCCTATATCTTGGTCCTTATAGTCCTCTATTTATAGTTTTTGCATTAACCGGCCCGGAATTAGGTGCAGCTATATCACAAGCTCATATTTCTATGATCTCAATATGTATTTACTTGAATGATTCTACAAATCTCCTTCAAACTGGTTATTATTTATAACTGAACCAAAAAGAGGGATACTTGTCGTCAGGTGTATGAATTATGGGAGATCTTTGGCATAATATTCTCTGCTTCTGTTTCTTCTTCCTCTCTTCTTATTCTGTGCCTTCACTTTCCGTTACTGGTTCTACATCACATACATTCACAATTACTACTAAAACCATGGTTACCAGAATCCCAATCCGGATTTTACGATCCATTTAAGTACAATCGATTCGGATCGTATAAAAAATTCCTTATAGGTAGGATCTTTCGATCTTAGTAATGGGATCTTATAGGATCGTGGAATCTTGATCCGAATCCAATCTTATCTAATTTAATTTACAAGCCTTATTTTGTATTGTATGACATATTTTATTGTAAATTTTATGTTTTTTATCTAAATACCAATTTATGTGGTCAAAATAAATAATAAAAATTAAGTAGTATTGAATCAAATAGATTATGAAAAACAAACTAGGAAACAAACATTCAAATATTGCGGTAATTTAAGAAAATTAACTAGTCGGAAAAACAAACTTAGCTTTAGCAGAGTCTAAGGAGTGTAAGATGATTGCAACTTTATCCCAATTTTTGGAGAGATTATTATTGTGACTCGAATCCGCTCCACCAGGGATACTAACGACAAACCTTATCATTCGGTTAAGTTGCTCTTTTGAGTTCTTAATTTATTTACATATCCAACTTTGTGAAATATTTTTTCTACTCCACTAAGCCTAACCCACTACACCACTACCACCTCCACTTCACCTACTCCTTACCTACTACACACTCACCCTCTTCTATATATAGGAATCATGAATCATTGTAATAAATATATCAATATATCAATCAATAATACATCAATTTATTTTTCATGGTATCAGAGCTATAAGATTTAGGTCTATACTGCTTTCTTTCCGGCGGGCAGCTGGCCGGCAACCTTGCCTTCGCTGCCCGCTGGAATTTTTCAACACATACCACAAACACATACCAGAAACTCTTCTTTCTATCTGGGATCTCTGTTTTTCTTCACAGGCTTGGTTCTTCTCTCCTCTCCTCTAAAAAGTAAACGCACTTGGGGATTTGTGTGGTACTTCCCCTCCAGATCTTGAGCTTCATGGACAATTACTGCAAGCAAACCACCACCATCAGGAGTTACTTCAGGAGCCTTTTCTACTGTATTTGAATCTTCAGTTTCCTTTGGCATCTCTTCATCCGTAAAAGGATCCATAATTGGTACCTCAAGGGTTTTGGGCCATAGATACATATTAGCAATTCGGCAGTGTCCAACGACAGCTTCGAAATCCCTGAACTGATCGGAAAACTGGCCACTATTTGCAACTCCGGCGAGATCTCCCCGCCGTCCCACCCGTTGCTGGCAGCTACTAAATGTGCTTAGATCTGCCTTCCTCTCTCTGTTTCTGATGTAGACCCTTGGAGCTCGATTATCTCTCACATTTAGTAGCCTAATGGCTTTACTCGACCGTAAATTGGATGCTGCACCCAAGGTGGGTTACGTGTGGAGAGAGAGAGCAAAGGGCACACCCAATTCACTTTTCTTTGTTTAATCACACCCATCCACCGCCCACTTTAATCAAACTTTATTTTTTATTCTAAACCTTCATTGATGCTCTCAGACATCATGTTATTCCCACCCAATTCACTTTTCTTTGTTTAATCACACCCATCCACCGCCCACTTTAATCAAACTTTATTTTTTCTAAACCTAACCCACTACACCACTACCATCTCACCTACTCCACTAAACCTAACCCACTACACCACTACCATCTCACCTACTCCACTAAACCTAACCCACTACACCACTACCATCTCACCTACTCCACTAAACCTAACCCACTACACCACTACCATCTCACCTACTCCACTAAACCTAACCCACTACACCACTACCATCTCACCTACTCCACTAAACCTAACCCACTACACCACTACCATCTCACCTACTCCACTAAACCTAACCCACTACACCACTACCATCTCACCTACTCCACTAAACCTAACCCACTACACCACTACCATCTCACCTACTCCACTAAACCTAACCCACTACACCACTACCATCTCACCTACTCCACTAAACCTAACCCACTACACCACTACCATCTCACCTACTCCACTAAACCTAACCCACTACACCACTACCATCTCACCTACTCCACTAAACCTAACCCACTACACCACTACCATCTCACCTACTCCACTAAACCTAACCCACTACACCACTACCATCTCACCTACTCCACTAAACCTAACCCACTACACCACTACCATCTCACCTACTCCACTAAACCTAACCCACTACACCACTACCATCTCACCTACTCCACTAAACCTAACCCACTACACCACTACCATCTCACCTACTCCACTAAACCTAACCCACTACACCACTACCATCTCACCTACTCCACTAAACCTAACCCACTACACCACTACCATCTCACCTACTCCACTAAACCTAACCCACTACACCACTACCATCTCACCTACTCCACTAAACCTAACCCACTACACCACTACCATCTCACCTACTCCACTAAACCTAACCCACTACACCACTACCATCTCACCTACTCCACTAAACCTAACCCACTACACCACTACCATCTCACCTACTCCACTAAACCTAACCCACTACACCACTACCATCTCACCTACTCCACTAAACCTAACCCACTACACCACTACCACCTCCACTTCACCTACTCCTTACCTACTACACACTCACCCTCTTCTATATATAGGAATCATGAATCATTGTAATAAATATATCAATATATCAATCAATAATACATCAATTTATTTTTCAGATACTAACGACAAACCTTATCATTCGGTTAAGTTGCTCTTTTGAGTTCTTAATTTATTTACATATCCAACTTTGTGAAATATTTTTTCTTCTCTTATGACAATGAATCCTACTTTGAATCGCTTAAATACTAGGTCGTTCCCCTCAAGTGACGCTTGTGCCTGCCTCCGGGTGTTTCAAAAAGTGATCAATGGGCGCCGCATTGACGCCTAGGTGTGGTGAAAAATGGGCAAAGGTTCCCGCGTTTTTCTGGACGAGCGCGGGTAAAGAAGTTAGTCCAAGACTATAGGTTTAGAGTAGCCACTTGGAACATAGGAATTTTAACTGGTAAGACGATGGAATTGGTAGATGTTACGATTAGGAGGAGAGTTAGTATAGCTTCCGTACAAGAAACTCAGTGGACATGTGAGAAAGCTAGGGAAATTGAGAATACAGGTTTTAAACTGTATTATAGTGGTGAGGATAGACGCAGGAATGGGATAGGAATCATAATTGCCAAGAGTCTTGTAGAGAAAGTAGTGGCGGTTATCAGGAAAGGGGATAGGATTATGTTAGTTAAACTAGTTATTGGAGGGAATATAGTGAACGTTATTAGTGCATACACCCCTCAAGTAGAATTAGATGATTAGACTAAGAGGGATTTTTAGGAGCAAATGGATGAGATCTTACAGGAGATATCCATAGGAGAGAACCTGGTTATAGGTGGAGATTTTAATAATCATGTAAGCATAGATAAATTAGGCTATAAAAGGGTGCATGGCGGATACGATTTTGGTGACAGAAATGAGGCTAGAGAGAGTATTTTAGATTTTGCGTTGGCTTCTGACTTGGTGGTGGCCAATACTATGTATAAGAAGAGGAAGGAGCATTTGATAACCTTTAATTATGAAGCATGGACACTCCAAAATTGGTGCCGTGGCGGAGTCCGACACGCGGACACGCCGGGGACACGGGGAAACGCCGGGGACAAGTACGGGACACGCCAGATGGCATGTCCCTTTAATTGGTTATAGGTGGAGATTTTAATAATTATGTAAGCATAGATAAACTAGGCTATAAAAGGGTGCATGGTGGATACGATTTTGGTGACAGAAATGAGGCTAGAGAGAGTATTTTAGATTTTGCGTTGGCTTCTGACTTGGTGGTGGCCAATACTATGTATAAGAAGAGGAAGGAGCATTTGATAACCTTTAATTATGGAGCATGGACACTCCAAAATTGGTGCCGTGGCGGTGTCCGACACGCGGACATGCCGGGGACACGAGGAAACGCCGGGGACAAGTACGGGACACGCCAGATGGCATGTCCCTTTAATTTAATGTTTTTTTTGGAAGGGGACACGACTGGGACATAGCGGGGACACGTGTGTCCACATCTGGACACGCTAGGGGACATGGCGGGGCTCTTTTCTGAATTTGTTATATGTATTTGGGGTCAAAGTGTAATATTTAAAAAGTAAAAACTGAGGGAGTCGAAATAGAGTGAACCTGCGAAGACCTTCTGAGTCGAAGCCCTCTCTCAGTCGATCGAAGCTCTCTCTCAGTCGAAACCCTGCGAAGTAGATCAAAGCCCTCCGAAGTCGATCGAAGACCTCCGATCGAGTCGTCTCAGCCTCTGTTTCTGTCGATCCAGTCATCTTCGACCTCCGATCCAGTCGACTTCGAAGGTAAGCCCTCTGTCTCTTTCTCTTTCGCGCTCTCTCTCTCTATATGGTCTGTTTTCGACTG